TCAGAAAAATCTACTTGAGTACAGTAACGAAGTATTTGTACTTTGTTACTTCCCATCTCTGCTCTTAGGTCATGGTGACTGATCCATTATATGAAAGAGAATCTGTTAGTGAAGAAAAAGGTTATGAGCTGAAAGTTAACAGAAACCCCCACCATGAGGGACTTTTCTATATTTAAGTAATTTTAGTTAGTGGTAATATGGCTAGCCTCACAGGGTGGTAAACTCGTTGGGAAGCCGGACATAGCTGAAACAACGAACATCAGCTAGACTTTGACTATTTTTATTGTCATTTTGTATACTGAGAGTGTATACAAAACAAAATTTCATTTAGTAAAATTTTTATCAGACAGTAAATTAACATTTCCATTCCATAAAGTGTAGCAGTGATCAAATGTAAACAGTGTGAGAGAAAAAACATGGTGCAAAAAACAACACATAACTAGGAATGTGTTCAGTGTATGGTGCAAAGTGTGAATGAAAAAAAACAACAGTCTTCTACTTACAGGACAGAAATGTTAAGAGTCATATTTTGAGTCAGTCAACTTTACAGCGGTTAAAGCTAGATGCCCTTTGCTACTCTTATGCACTGTTGCAACGTTTCCTCCCTTTTCTCCAGAAACCCACACACTCATATAGACAACAAACAAACAAACAAACAAGGGTTGGAAATTCAAAGAGGTCTGTGGTGTACTTTGATGCCAGGTGTAATCTTTATTAAATAAACTTAATCCCACAAATAGCATTCAATCTTAGAACAGGATTTTTGCTGAGTAATACTGCCCGGGCACAGCTATGCAACCACCTACTCAATATGGTTTGCTTGACATCTAGGACAGAATACATGAAAAAATATGATTCCATTATATGCTGTCTTTTTTTCAAACTGATTGATTTATGTTTTTTCATTAAATTCAGATTGTATTTGATCATCACTTGTTCAATATCTAACAGACATAAACTGATTGATCTGAGCTTGAATGTTCAATACTATATTAATATAATGTTGGACAGTTTAGTAATGGGCTACTGGGGACTCCCTCAGGATATTCAACCAAGGTTAGTTTTTAGAAATCTAGCTTAAGACAAAAAAAGGGACTGAAGAACTGGAAAGGATTCTGGGTTCTCATTTACAAAGCTTGCATGTGCACAAAACAGGGCCCAAAACGTATGTATGGTTTCTTATGCCAAGTCTTAAGCATCTATACAGGTTTATATGCATGTTTTGGAGACAGGGGAAATGGTTACACAGATGGTGACAGGTGGAGACCAGAATGCATCATAATTTCTCTCTGACATTTAATAAAATTTTATATGAAAGTAATTTTAGACTGTTTTATCTAATTTAAAACCACAGTGTGGTATATTCTACCACTGCTCAGCTAACCTGTCACACAAATTTAAAAAGGCCTACTATATTGAAATGCTTCTTTAACA